GTTCTAGGTCTGTAAACATCTAAAGAGCAATAAATGATATTACATGATCTTGGGCACTCTGAGTTCAACTCAGTCCAAGCCAGGATTAACAAAAATGCATTTTAATTGAAGTAAATTTATCTATATCCTAATCCTTTCTTTTGCTTCAAAAGCTCTGGCCTTCATGGCTGGCTAATGCTCTGAAGGACATACTCTGCTCAAACACACCTGAGAGTCAGTTGGCATTTACACAGTGACAAAACTGCTTTTGAAAATATTTATCTTGTGTGCCTTTCTGTAAAGCTGTAGTTCAGCAACATGCAAAGCCCAGGTGCTGCTGGAGGTGATGTTATGTTCAGGAATTGATACAAAAACATTAACCCAAGGAACAGCACTATTCTGAGCTGCTCCCTCAGGAAAGGTCCGGTAGTGCTGCTACTCTGCAGTGCTCCCTTGATTTCTGGCTTCTTCATCTGCACTTTCTTTTCTAGCTCTTCCCTCATTCCTCACCACCCCAAAAGGCAGGGTTCTCCTCTGCCTCCATTTTATAATGCCTCCCTATCACACTGCTGTTCCTCACAACACGTATCAAGCAGCCACAATATCGTGCCTTTGGCTACTCAACACTGGCTTCTTAAAGCCAAGCTTTCACAGCACTAAGCCACAAAAATGGCAAAGATTTCGGTATCTAAATTCTGCCTCCATGTAAAACTGAAAGCTCGTGTTGGCAGCCACTTCACCCTCGAGGCAGGAAACTCCTGTGATGCTGCAACCTTTTTTAAAGTTTTTTTTTCTTCTTTATTTTTCCTAACTTTCAGTCTTCCTACCTGTGTCAAGTGCTGCTTCTGGGCATGGCCAGACAATTTCACTTTTACTGTCAGAGCAGCTCAGACAGAGGTAGAGGTTAAAAAGCAGACAGATTCTTTTTTTTTTTTTTTTTGCCAACTGCCCCAAGGCAGAGGGACTGGTTCAAGCAGGAGATGAGAGCTTGTTTGATACTTAATAAATTAGCAAGTCATTTACACAGTAAAACAGTGCAGATATGAGATAATAAGAGGATAAATCATCAGTTATTTAGAAATATGGCCTTTTTTTAAACTTTTATGCAAGCCCCTGGATGGTGGGAACCCAGAGTATACTGGTCAGTCCCTAGTAATAAAGTCCAGTGTGTACTTGCCATACTGGCCATGAGAAACCAGAGTGCTGACCCAGGGGACTAGCTGGGGCTGAGGGACTCTGGGCTCAGGAACAGGCAGAAAAGAAATAAACTCTGGAGTAGCCAGTTGTGGGTAATCAGTGACCTCCAGAAGGGACAGACAGGAGCAGCTAACAGCACTTACTGCTCTTCCTGTTTTCCAGCTGCTGTTGTGCTGGAAAAAAGTAATCATCCTTCTCCAGGAGAGGAAGATGACATGCACCAGAGTGACTTTCTGACCTGCTTCCATGTAGCAGGGTTAAACAAGCCAAGGGACAGAAAGCAAGGGCTGCCTGTTCCCAACAGGATGACCTCACAAGTGTGCAGCCCTGTGCATCTGCAGAGGAGCAAAAGGTAAGCCAAGGGCACGGCACTTGCACTTGCACTCCAGTCTGAAACCTGAAACAGCCCCAACAGAGGGGTTGTGTAAGAGTACCACAGAGGTTTGTGGTGAGAGCTCTTTCTTGCCACATGGGTGTGAATCCCTGGAGGCAGAAAGAACAGGATGTGGGCCTCCCACAGACCCTTTCTCTGGTACGCACCTCCCCCCATCTCACACAACCAGCAGCACGTTCAGGATGCCACCCCAGAGTCAAGCGCATCAGTAGGGCCCAGCAATATGTAACTGCAGCTATCCTTGGCTTTCAGATTGCACTCAGTCTGTACTTGGCCCCAGGCTGGAGGGATGGCCAAGGCCACTGGCCAGCACACAGCCTCAGCAGCAGCATTTTGCTCCATGCTGTCCCTAAGAACAGTGGGGCCCTGAGCAATTTTAAGTCAAACAAGGCAGAGCACGTGGCAACTTGATGCCATGTTCCACAGCCTCTATGTCAGATCTTGTGCATCCTCCTGCAGCTTTAGCAGAACATGAAAATGCCAGACACAGGCTTTGAAGTGCAGACAAGCAGTAAAGAGACTTTTCTATCACTCCAGGCAGGTTTGTCCTTTAATTACTGAAACAGCCAGAAACTATTGGTATCTGACACCATTTCTATTAGTGCATAATGGACTCACATTAGTTCCTCCCCTCATGGGCTCTCTACTGATGTTAGCACCTGATCTTCCTTCTTGCCTGCTCCTTTTTTTCCTAAATTCCTAGTTGTCTTCCCTGAGCATCACTTAACACCCCCTGCCACACACACATACACACAACCGATTAAAAGTTACTATCCTCGTGTCCTGCTACCCCCTCCAACCCCCTCACAGTGATTTGTTTCCAAACAGTGCAAAACACAACCATTTCTCAACAACAGAAAAAGTGTGCAGGCTGTCACATAACCTGCAGTGTCTTCATCCAGCACCGTGGTCCTCAAGCTTTTCAAAACCACCCTTCCTCTTTTTAAAAAAGTTTCATTTCCCCTTCTCATTTTCCCAGTTTCTCCCTGATGAAACCACTATTCACTTTCTAACTTATCTCAAGCCCCCAGTACTCAAACATGAGGGTTTTTATTTTCAGAGCATGAAACAGTTTGTATGATTTTTTGTTTGTACCAATTTTTTTCTCCCAACATTTACATTTTAATTTTTCAGTAAAAACCAAACCCCAAAATCTATCAGTGTTAGCTCAAAGGATATACTCCACTCATCTTGGAGCTGAAGGGGATGGGTAACTTTTGTGTGGGAGAGTTGGAAACCAGCACATGCAAACAAAACAGCAGGGGATGAGGTTTTTTGTGGCTCCTGCCTATTGTCCTCCGGTTACAGGACGTATTCTGACACTCCCCAGAAAGAAAGTCACTGCTGCAGTAGAGGACAGAAAAAAATGAACAGGACAACAATCTGATTTTCTACATCACCCAAAGAGCTAACAGAGTTAGAGTTTATTTCTAAAACAGCTGGAATCCCATATTTGACAAAGTTGCAGACAGATGGAGCTTTCGGAACCAGGTTGACACTGAGGGAAACTTGAAACCCTTCTGCTGGCAGAGCTACAGTAGAGCGGTGCCAAATTCCCTGCCAGACGGAGCTGTCATTCAAAGATGCCCGGTAGAGCTGGTGATACCAGAAAATCTGTGCTTGTCTTGGTAGACATGCTTTACAAGGAGGATTTGGGGAAAGCAAGGAAACTCTAGCAGCAGAGATGTCAGTTTTCCAGCCTGAAAGCATCCCCCATTAAGAGCATATGGTGGGTCTATAGACCCGGCACTGCCATAACAGCAAATGCTGCAGGCATACCTTAGCCCTGTTGATAGGCACAAAAACCAAAATGGCACCTGTAGCTTATTTCTCTTGATCCAGTATAAACAAGTGCACTTGCAGCAAAACATATTCTTTGGATGATCACAGAGCATAATTCAGAAATTCTTTGGTTGTCAGACTGCATGAAATTCCATGATTTTTTTTTTTTTTATTCCGTATGGTGACAAGTGACAGAGTGATGTGAGAGGCTGAAAAAAAATGCTAGTGTAGTGCCAGGAGAAAGGGCATCATTCCAGAAGAAAGTGGAAACACCCTTTTCTTCAGAGCAAGCTCAGGCGCCAGTCCCAATCCGTAGCAGGTGCTTCTCCCTCCTACCACTGCAGCACTGAGGCCTCAGCTGCATTCACACCATCTGCAGCAGAACATTGGTTTCCCACAGGATTGCCAAGTGAGGTTAAAGCTTTTAGGAATGTTTCTACCTTCTATCTGAGGTGATATCTCAGGAGGTGAAGGAAAAATAGTGCACATATCGTTCCTCTGGGGGAACAGAAGACAGGAGTATCCTTAAATATCTACCATATCGGTCCAAATTACAGTCAGAGTGCTGGTTTCCAAAAACTGTAGTTAAGTCAGTCTTGGCAGGAGGACTGGTGATCCAAGCACCCCTGTTGCAAAAAATTACACATACATATATAGGTGTGTGTGTACCTTCTTCTGCAGATATGTTCACTCCAGTGTCCTAGAATGAAGTCCCTTGTCCCATATGGCCATTTGATTGGTCCTGTGCTGGCAGAGCAAGGAAGCTACACTATCACTGACACTGCTAACAGGGATTTCTAGCTCAGAAGAATGTTTATTCTCTTAAGCGAGAGAGCCTTTGAGGCATGCTCAATTCAGGTTGTTAAAAATAAAAAAAACCAGCCTATTTCTGACCAAACACAAAACATATCATCTGAAGGTATGGGGCAGAAAAGCAGGCCAGAGTTGGACATTGTAAAGAAATAAAAAATAGTCAATATGCAATCAGTAACATTATAACTGCCTGTTTAGTTTTATTTGAATAATCCTCTATATTAATGTTAAAGCAGTTTCAAATTGTTTGCTGCTCTGTGTTGCTGTAAATAGGGCACTTATGAAAAGGAATAGCAAGAAAAATCACAGAAGCTGTGCACCTTTAGAAGGAGGATCTGCTCAGTTATTTTCATTTACTTACTCAAAATTTTTGACACTTAAGCAGTTGGCCAATTTCTCTTGTCTAAGAGCTAAAAAAAAAAAATTCTAAGTAAAGATAGATATATTAGGATGGGAGAACAAAAATAAGGTGGCAACAAATAGCAATGTGTGTTGACCTGCTACAAGGCACAAAAAGAATTTTCCAAGAGGACCATTAAATTACTTAGCAGTATTGATGTGGAATTTCAAAAATACATAGCAGGCCAGAAAATGCTTTTTCCTTCAGATTGTCCCTGGTAAACTGTATAAATCCTACTTCTGCTTCACACCATGCAGTTGTCTTGACAGAAGAAACCAATTTATAAGTACAAGCTCTACTTCACAGCTAGACATGAAAGGAGAAGCACCAAGGAGGAGGACGGGCCTGCGCTTTTTTCCTGCAAAGAATTTCCAGGTCTCCCGAGATGGGCTACAAAAAGGAAAGAGAAAGGTACCAAGAAGGAATTGTCTCAGAATTGAAGTTACATAGAACTTCATGATCATACCAGGTTGGACAAAACTGGACTGTTCTGTCTGTCCAGGCTCTGGGCAGAGTCTCCAGGATCATGGATTCCAGCTGAGGCAGAGGAAGGGACACACCACATGTAAGAGAAAGCAGCACAGTGTGCTTTCCATGAACACTGTTAGGTTCCAAAGAGAATAATTTAAGGGAAATGCACAGAAATTTTCTACAGAACAGGTCTTACTGTGAAAAGAAAAAAAAAGATCCCACAAAACATTAAACTTATATTCTTGGGTACGTATTTTCCTGTATTTGGCAAGGGGAAGTTTTTAAAGAATAATCTTTGATTGCTAATATCCTGTAAAAATTCATGGAGGAAATCCTCGATTTTATCATGTACTGTTGGGGCTAGGAGGGAGTGTTTGCAGTGATGTATTCAAGTTGCAGTTCATAATTTTTTATGCTGGCTGAGCTGATATTAGAAAAAGTCCATAGTTCTGATAGAAAGAGGTAACAAAGACTTGGGTCCGTGTATCCAGGCACAAATTAGTTTATAACAGTTCCTTTAACAAATCACCCTTGGAAGTTAAGGATCAGGTAGGAATTTGTAGGACTTCCCTTGTGTAAACAGATGGAGAAAATCAGAAGCAATTTTTCTATCCCTCTGAAAGGAGAACCCAACGACTGTCCAAATGAGTTTTAAATGCACTTATTGCAAATAGCTGGACATGACCACAGCCCAGCTTGTGAGACAGAAGTTGTCTTTCTCCAGAACAAGCAGGTTCTCCATTATAAACTTCTTTGGGTGGGGAGAAGGGAGGGGAGCAAAAATACTTTGGTTCACAACATTGTTTTGCATAGGCATTCAAGTAGATATTCCAAAGCTACCAGCTGTCCAGGCTAGTAACATAACACCCATGCCCCCTCCTCGGTAGTGGACGCTCCTCTTTGGTATCCTATTTTGTAAGGCAGACATCTTGCACAGATGATGGAGTCACACAGATGCATCTTTGAAAAGGAACAAACAAATTAATCTAATTTATTAAGGAACACACTGGAAACCTTCTTTTGGTAGGCGGTAGGGGAGGGAGAAAAGAAAGTGTTGATAGATTCAGTATTTGCAAGAAGCAAGTTATTTTGCTCTTGTAGTTATTTGTTTACAGCTGTCAGTAGCTGTGATACGTCTGTGTTGACAGAAAATATGGAGTTACTGCTTCATGAGTAATTTTGAGTAACAACAACCAAGACATTAATAAATCCTTTCAGGTAGACACAGCCCTGTGGCAGAAAATATAAATATTCATTTTGGGAAGCATTCTGGCAGTTACTAAGCACGATACTTACTTGTTGACTGCGTGATGCACGAAACCTTGTAGGACGACCACATGCTTAAAATACAAAGTATTGTAGCTAGGAACCCGAAAGTCTGGATGGGAAAACAAATAAACCACAAATATTTACAGAGCATTAGATGACACATATTCCATGCATGTATGAACACTTTTGTATATTCAGCTTCATATTTTATGAGATTAACAGACCCAAAAAAAGTGATTTTTTTACTCCATTCTGCCAAAATACTAAAAAAATAAAATTTCCTGTAGTATAATAGCAAGTTATGTCTTGTGAAAACAACAACTGACAGACAGATTAAGAGTCATACACAAGGAGGGAGAAAAAGTTGGACAGCAGCATGGAGCCTCACCTTCTAAACTTCCCACTAGGATTCTGCAACAAAGAAAAGACTGTTTCTAGCACCTCTGAGTACTGTTCTTTTACTGCCCCATTCAAACAAGTCTTTCCCTGCTGCCTGCCAAATAAACAAGTCAGGTTAAGTATTCTAGTTTGTTTGCATCATCCAGACTAAGTTTCTGAAAGCAATTCATTATTCTGGAGGAGTTGTATTTCTGGTCCTGCTGCTGTGAAAATACTGTCACCCACACTCATAAGTCATGCCTCTCTCTACAAAGCCCTCCAGCCAACAGAGGCAGAAAGCATCTTCCAGTAAGTCAGTGCAGAGCCTCAGTGGGTTTTAGCTCAGGAGAAATTATTTTGAAGAGGTCTCTGTTCAGGAGCAGGAGGCAATCAAAACCCAAAGACTGAAATTCTGTAGGTAAGTTCCAGGTGCTACAACAGCCTTTTGTCAAAACTTAATTGTCTTAATTCTTCCCCTAAACACATTAGCTCCTGTGAGTTAAAGCAGAAGCCTTTAGTTTCAACACTCTGACAGGACAAATACCCACTTTTAGTGGTGAGTCTGGAGTCTCACAACAAAATATTTTTATTGGCACCGTGTTACAGAACATTCACTGAAATGAGTAAGAAGGTAGTTCACCCAATCAAGACACAAGCAAGGCAAGTCTGTAAGAAAATAAAAGTACAAGTAACAGATTTCCAATGCCCTACTGTATATATATTGCAATTTTAAAAATGTCAAGACTAATAAACACAGTCTTACCGCTCCAGCCACAAGTCCGGTCACATTGTAACTCTTGGCTGCTGCTACAATCGATCCAATGAGAAGCAGAATTGTACCAATTAAGTAATGAAGGAACTCCTGTAAAGACAAACACAGCCTGCATCAGAAGGGAAACTTAGCAGGAAAGCATTTTGATATGCCTCAGAAAGAAATGAAGTTGGCAGAAGTGACTCAAACCCAGAGGACAAAACACTAGTAAAAAAAGGATATTAAAAAAACCCCTAACAACCCACCTTGTGAGTGGATTTTGTGCCAAACCTCAGTTTCTGTTAAAAAAGGGGGAGAGGGACAATCTTCAGATCTACTAATGTCACTGGAATAAGGTTCACTTACTGGGTATGGATGCAATCCTTTCAATTCAACATAGTTTATTACTGAGGATGAAACATATCTCTTTATTGCATCAAGTATTGCACTGCACTAAAGGGATGGTTCTGGAGGAAGGAAGAAGCTTTAAAGACATATTTCTCTAGCCTATATGAGATGCCATAAGTGGAAAACCAAATGCTCCTACTTCTGATAATCTTAAAAAGTAAGCAGTGGATCTACTGCTGGCTTTACTAATGACTTAGGTCAACCAAGACTCGAAACAGGAGGGAAGCCACAAAAAGCACAACTGCAGTAAAACATGATGGCACGGGCTTTTCTGGGAGAGCACCAAGGCACCACATTTAAGATCTTCTCCGGTGTGATGAGTATCAGTCTGGGAGTCAATTTTACCTTGTTACAAGCAGGGGTTATCTGTGGATTGATTCTGAATCCTCACAAAGCTTATGGCAACCAATATGTGTGTTTGCACATGAACATGGGTTGTTTCTTGTGCATGGTTGGGGTGGGCAGGGGCATATCTGCTTACTGTATCTGCATGAACCAAGGGAATGCCATGTATAAGGGAGAGAAGAGATTTTATCTCAAACCACAAGATAGAATATAGTCCCAAAATTGTTCAAGGAAAGCCCAGACGATAAACAGTCTATCATACCAGTGTCCCTCTGCTCAGGTGTTTTATAAAGAGCTGAGAAGGATTTTTGCCATAAAGTAGAGAGACTGCAACTTGCTTTCCTCATTCATAACCTTGTTTCAGTTAATCAAGATGCCAACCCTTGCATTTTCTAGAATAAACTATTTCCATAAGGAGCCTTTCTCTGACTAGTCCATGATACAGCAGGCAAATTAGACACACCATTGCCTCCTTAGAGGCAGCAAATAAAGCAGTGTACACAGGCCACTGCTTTAGAGGAATTCGAGAGATGGGCAGAGGTTCAATGAATCCTCAAAGGCTAAATTAGGTGGAGAACCAACACCTGGAAGGGCTGAGAGAGTGCCCCTCTGGAGAAATACTTCCAAGCTTTAAAAGGTGTCAGCGCTGAACCACCTCTTGAACCACTGCAACTTTACTGACTACAAATCACACCCCCAATTGCAATGTAGAAATCCTGCCAGGAAACTCATCTGAGTGCTACCTGTAGTTTCCCAAAGTCTCTTATATGTCTTCCTATTCTGTTCTAAAGATACTTAAATGTGTGACTGATAAGGAAATTGTTTGTTTTGTAAAACAGCAGTAGTGTTCAAGAATCACATCCCATAAAGCTATCTGAAGCTGAGCAGCCACAAACTTCAGTGCCTTAAACTCACTAGTGGCTCTGGAACACAGAGGAACGATTAAGCACAAAACAAAAAAAACAAAGCAGCCTATGAAGAGGCCAAAATGGCATAGACTTGTTACAGCAATGCACACATTAAATGCTGCTTTACAAAACTGTAATTTATTAGCTTACTTCAGTCCTTTATTTTAATACCTACATCTGTATTATTTCTAGATAAATAAGTACCTTTAGAGACAGATAGTGGTGGCATACATTTAAAAAGAAAAAAGCCTAACCATGTTCTTCAGCTAAAAAGAAAAAGAAAGAAAGTTGTATTTTTCTCTCTGGCTAGAGGTGGATGGATGGACAGACTGTTATCTTAGATCTGTACAGTACTTACATAATTTCCATTACATGCCATCCAACCAATCTTGGATTTCAAAATCCCTCTATACCTCTCCAGTTTGCTTTCCCCATTCCTTTTTTCCTTCCTCTGTGGAACTAACATGTCACTATGTGTAAGGGAGGCATTTTCTAAGAGGTTATTAAAATCCATCATTCCATACCAGGATGCAGAACTCTTTTATTAGGTGACCTGACCCAGAGCTACTGAAAAAGTTCAGGTCTCACATTTTCTATGCTGCTTGTTAGTTCTCCACTAGGATATGAGAGATGGATGTGTATGGGAAATGTGGGAATGAAGCAGAACATCCTGCAGGATATCCCAGAAAAGGCAATCAGGCCGAGGCTTCTATTTCTTGCTATTGTTTAAGTTACCTAAAACTGTACCAAAAAGAGACACACTTGACTTAAATAGCACTCACAGACTTTATTTTGGGACAGGATGTAGTACATGAATTCTAATGCTACCATTTGGTACATTAGTAATCCCTTAGCTGCTTTAAATGACCTGAGCTAGGACTCATCTGCTGAAGGCTTGATAATCAGTAGCTTCTTTGCAATTGTCTCAGAATAACACTATTGACTTCCCTGGAGTAAATCTGGATTTACTGGATGTGTCTGAAGGAGGGCAGGATCAGATCCAAATCAGCTAAAAACCCTTACGATTAGAGCATCTGCTGAATACTAATAACAGAAGGATCTGCATACAAGGTAACAAAGAATCAAGTGAAAGACAGCCTATCATTGTGAAATAGCACAAGAAAAAGGACTAATAAATTGAGACATGAACCCCCAAGAGAGGCAAGGAACCCAGGCGATGTCACAGGCTTACCGCAAGTGGCCAGCTCACGCAATTGAGCTTCCTGTAGATCCTGAAGATGTGGGTAATGTAGAAGAACAAAATCATAACCAAATCGCACATGGTGACAATCTGAAAGAAGCTGTATGCGCTGTAATCCGTCCATGGAGAATTATTTACACTGATGAATCCAATCAGCAGTGAGATCTGGAAGACAAAATGTGCATTAAAGATTTTTACAGTGGTGCTCAGAGGGTTGTGGAGATGATTTTAAGCAGAACAAAATGGCACTTAGAAACATAAGACAAATATCTAATGTAAATTGGATGGTCCCAACAAAATGGAGGACAAAGTAATGAGCATGATAATGATGTTTTATAATTTGCTCACAAATGAGGTGAAGCAACCATCAAGAGTGGGGAAAGGGCCAACTGCCAGAAGGAATGCAGCAGTTTCAGCCTGAAGAACCCAATCTGAAGAAATCTCTGTGTACAACAGAAGTGGTCTCAAACAGAGAAAAAGAACTGAATGCCTGGAGATGCACCAGCGACTGAAGCATCTAAACCCCATGGACTTTCAGAAGGAAATAATTGAAAGCTGTAAAAATTGAGGTGTCCATGAGCAGATGCACCTTTACTTTCATTTAGTGACACTTCTCACATGCAAAAGCGGATGACCTGGCTGCAACTGAGCTAAACAGTTTTACTCTTCCTTTTCTACCACCTACAGAGCAGGAGTATTAGAGGATTATAAGGCAGCATCATAGCAAATAATATAAACATTTTGGGGAATTGATTAATTCACCTCACTCCCAAAGCTTTAATATGTTAACACTGCCACATAAAAGTATAAAGCTTCTGTACAACTTCCGTCAGCGGTACACTTGCAAAGGACAAAAGCTATTTTATTTTTTTAAAATATGAAACTACTTGTTTAGTTTACTAATCTTGCTGCTTCCACCAGCCTGGCTAACCTGGGTGATCAAAATAAATCTACTAAAAATAAATATACTAAAATATTTTCTTATTACAGACTTTGTCAATGCATGCTTTCAGCCACTGTAATTTTTAGCTCATCTGAAGTCAATCGGAAGAAGTAATGATTCACACTTTAAGTGTTTCTCCTAGACATTCAGAAAGTATCTGAGGAAGCCAGAACCTTAAGACTACAACATGCTTTCCTGCACACTCATCTTCCAAACTCCTAACCAACTGCATTCATTATCAGAATAATTTCCTTAAGATTAAAAGAGACAAAAAAAAAAAAAACAACAACAAACCAACACCCAAACAATATAGCTTAGATTATCCCTGCTGCAGTGTTAACCAAGTTTCACCTGCTCAGTTCTAAGTGGACAGGCTAAATATATGCATACATGAGAGCAACCAAAAGCTATATACACACAAAAGAACTTCACAAGAACTTGTCGCCTTGACCAAACTCCATCCAAACAGCCACATCAATGTCTTGACAGTGAACCACCTTGAAAAGCTGGCTTCAAAGAGAAAAGTCAGTGTTCCAGATTCCTTCCCACACAAGTGGCTAAGCTATTGTCAGACATGGTCCAGCTCCATTATTTTTACTGTATTTGTCCAAGTAGTTGATATTAACATTGTAAGTGATGCTCAGTCCGAGACAGTCATGGGATTCTGCACTACAGTGAGCCTACATCTCCTCTCACCTTTGGAAGTGACACAGGACTTGGAGATGCAGGGTTAGATCATACTTTGTGCTTCTCAAGGATGGAGGTCACAGGTGTCTTTGAATATGCTTGATAATGCTCAGTTCCTGTCTCCCCAGATGTGTTCCTGCCCTCTGTTTTGGGACTGTAACAACATAGCAGCATCCTGCATGTTCAGTGCTCCTGTCTGTACCACACCTCACCTCTGGGTCTCACTGCCTCACCACTGGGGAATCCTAAATGCACAAAGTCTTGCACCTTGTGCATGGCAGAGCTTTCTGATATGCTACATTTCTTAGAAGACAACAAAGCAATGCTCTCCACAATTCAGCATTTAAAGAACTCTGGCCCAGTTCTTCAATTCTGAAGTAATTTGGATGCAGTTTTGTCCAATCTGTGTCTACATATAGCAGGTCTACATTAAGCAGTGGTTTCAGAAGGGACCAGGGCACCTGTCATCTCCTTCCCACCCTGATTTCTTTCCCTGCTAATGTACTGGCTCCTCCATTCATCTGTGCTGAGCCATCTTAGTGTACAAAGCTAGCAGAAAAGTGAACTACTGAAAAAAGGCTTTACTCTGACTCAGCCATCACACAGGGCAGGGTCAGGTGAGCAAGGGAGTGTGAGGGAGAAGTTAGGACTTCCACAGAAAAGATAGGAAGGTCTGAGCAGGCAGGATGGCAGTAGGCAGTACCATGCTGGCTCAGGCTGCCACAGACCATGCATCTCAGTCCCTTGAATCTTTATGTTAGTTAAGAAGAGTTGTCTGAATTAGCCATTGAATAACTTGAACAATCAGAAGGAGATCATTTGCCCTATAATGTAGGAGAACACTTGAAGTGATGCAAGACACAGCTATTATTTTCATAATTTAAAACTGAATTTAATGAAATTTCATTCCATAGGAATGAAATTCTTCCATAGGAAGACTCAACAAGAAGTCACAGCAAGCACTGAGTCTTGCTCTTGGATAAAGGTGAGATGAGGACAGTACTTCCCTAATCACCAAAGGCTAGAAAGGGTCTCCCTTATTCAGATGTCTTCAGTTCCCAGTTTCAATTACACTGTACAAATCAAGAAAGAAGCGTTAATTCACAGAAATATTAAATCTGCCTAGTGGCTCATTTCATGCATGAACAATTAACTTTAGCAACTTTTTTTACAGTGTACAAAGGATAAGGTGGGCGGGATCCTTGAAGTACAATCACCATCCAAATAATTAAAACCACTGGAGAAAAAAAACCCACTTAGTTTAAACTAGATCCAGTTCTTTCTATTTCATGGAAGCATAAAAGTATTTTTCTTTTCAGTTAAAAGGTATAAAAAGCTGAGAAGAAGCATAAAGAAGAATGTGAGCTGTCCAAGAACAGAAAATTCATCTGAGGTGTTATATTCCTCAGAAATAGGAAAATACAAGGTACCAATCACTCAGTGAAGAATCTGCTCAGCTCCTAAAGATGGAGTAGAACTGTGGATTTCAAGACTACTTCACAATTAAAACAACTCCAAAACCAATTAGCAAAGATTCTTCCTTCTTTGATTTTAGATGTGCCTCAGCACACAGGTAGGAAGAAACCATGGCAAGAGGTATTTCTTTCAATGTTTAGTTTCTTAGCATAAATTTTGCAACATGAGACTTACCTGCAATTTCTAAAGAGAGTCATCTGATCAGAGGCACATAATTCTGTTTCACAGGACAGGTTCAAAGGGGACCCTATAAACAACTTTATAAAAGTTGTCTGCCACACTATTATTGCCAGCCTGCATGGCTGGCAGGTACAGTCAGAGTTTAAAACTCACATGTTGAAAAAGAATGCTAACAAATGTAGAGCCACATAATATCATTTGTCCTTTAAAAGTGACAAACACTGAACTTCCTTCACCAGATAGTGGTTTATCATGATATATATCGGGTGATGACTATTTTTCCCCCCTCTGGGATTCCTGTTTCCAGAGGTTAGAGTGATAAAATTATTAATATGTAACTGTCTGGGATACAGTTCAACATAGATCTTAGAAGTCAGTTTGTGACACAGAGAGAGAGAGAAACAAATGGCAAAGCACTAAAGTGATCAAATGTTACGACTGCTCTTTATGCATCTGTGCTCAGGGGAGCAGGTTAATACACCTCAAAAATAAAAACTGGGGGTACACAAAAAGCCAGGGCACTGCTATTTCCCTTTCAATATAGCATTTCACAGATTGTGAGAGCAACACACATGTAACAAACAGCCAGCAAGGCAGTGTGACCAGAAGTACAGGTCAAATGATGGTCAGTCTCATGAGAAGATTTCAATGTGCTCCACAATATATATCCAGGCTCCAGACCTGCATTACAAAAGGAGTGAGGGACACATTGCAGGACAACACTATTTCAGTGCTTTCTGGTTTCTGAGAAGCAAAATAAAGAACATACACACCAATCAACTCCAAGGAGGGATTTTTGGATTTAAATAAAGTTTTGTATTTATTCTGTTTCATAGAAGTTGACTGGCTTAAACTAATCCCCTTCTTGACTTTACTTTGGACCAGATTTTTGAAGTAAGTCATGAAGCATGTTTAGAGACACTGGTATATATCAGGAACTATCTCACAGCTAAAGGCAGTCAGGCAATTGCCAGAAGGCACTCAATGCCTTACCAGATAGAAAAGATATAAAATCTGCAAGACTCTTACAGAGTAAATCTGCGTTCTTTTCTCTATTTTGAGCTGGAGATGAGGTAACCACATCCTCTGCAACGTTCCTGTAGAAAATGTTGGCTCTTGAATGGCACTGAATGTTCCCAAGCCTAAATTCCATTCTGATTTGAAGTTAACGCAGCTCTACCAAAGAATGAAACATAATTTGTTCTTTCTTGATATGGTCTTCTTCCTAAAGGTGCCCAAGATGCTGCTTGGCCACCTTTGCCACCAAAGCACATTGTTGGCTCATGGTCAACTTCTAGTCTCCCATGATTCCAAGGTCTTCCCTGCAGAACTGCTTTCCAGTCAGATGGCCTGCACTCTGTACTGCTGCAGAGAGGCTTACCCTCAGATATCCCCGGATACAGGACTTGGCATTTCTCTGTGCTGAACTTGATGAGATTCCTACCTGTCCGGACTGTCAGGGTCCCTCTCCATGACAGCACAACTCTCTGGCTCATCAGCCACTCCTCACAGTTTTTTTTATCACCTACAAATTTTCCAGGAGTGCACTCTGCCCCATCATCCAGGTCATTAATGAAGATGTGAAACAGTACCAGCCGCAGCATTGACCCCTGGGGTGCACCATTAGTGACTGGCCTCAAAGGACTTTGTACCATGACCTTCTGCAACACTCTGCCATTCAGACACTTTTTAATCCATCTCACTGTCCCCTTCTCTAATCCATACCCTGTTATCTTGTCTGTGAGGATGTTATGGGAGACCATAGCCTTACTAAGATCGAGGTAAACAACACCCATCACTCTTCCCTTGTCTACCAGGCTAGTCACCTCACTACAAAAGGCAGTAAGGCTGGTCAAGCATATTTTCTCCTTTGTAAATC